CTCTTCGACGCCCCTGCCTGCTTCTCCCGGCGGCCAGCGGGGTGTTCAGTGGGACAGAGGTCCAGTTTCTGGTTTCTTATTTGCCTTTATTAAAACGAGGCTTTAGTATAATTTGACAGAGGAGTGGAGCTTTTTTTTTTTGGTCTAGTAATGAAGCCCCGTTCAAGTCCAGCTCAGCCCCTTCATGGATAGTGCTTGTAGGTTTTTTGACACAGTACAAAACTAGTTCGCCGTAGACTTACGAGATATTTTTTGGCCTCCCAACCTAGCTTACAACCCTGATATTTTCTGTCCTCCAAGTACCCTGCCTAAGTTCCTCCCCAGGCAAGGCCACCAACTGCTTAGATTAGAGCCATTTCCACAAGGGATATTTTGTGACTTTCTAGACCCAGGGTTTCATACATGTGATGAAAGCAGGTGGTGCCCATGTCTAAACCCGTCAGCTTGGAAAGTTGTATTCTGAATAGCACAAAGCTTACGTAATAATGCTTATGTTGTAATAAAAGTGCTGGGCGCTTAAAAAAGCCAGATAATCTTTGCCTCTATATGTCTGTGTGCATGTGTATATGCTGCAGTGGTGCTTACTGTTTTTTCTCCACAACCTTGGAAAACAAAAGGGGTATCTCTTCCCTGTTTCACGTATGTGAAGATAAAATCCATGTGCTGGCAGGCACATCCAACTTTTTCCTGTACTAGCAAAGGATGTACCCTCAAGTATGAAACCATATCTAGCATATATGATGAAAAATTGTTTAAATCACAATAGCTCCTACTAAGATATCATAGTGTGAGATGTGAGATGTGCAGGTATTTGGATTTGAACCAGGAACGGTGGTTTGGATACAACATGGACTGTATCTGTCACCAATACCTTATATGTTTGAATTCAGGAGGTATCAAAGAGTTTATTTATTTATTTATCAAATTTGTTATTGCCCATCTCATTGAAACAACTCAGTATCATGATTATACCCTGTCATTGCTTCATACATGCCTCCTGAACTGATAATTACTTTCCTAAGGTTGCGTGAGAGCAAAAAGGGCTTGGTTTCTTTAAGGTACTACTGAAATACTTCCCAGTGCTAGATCTGAATGACTTTTCAGCTTCAGATTTGAATACTGCCCCCATCTAATATAACAATAGTGGCGATAAGGAACTTCATGGAGATTTTGCAAGAAAAATTGCACATAAATTGACTTGCTACTTGAAAGTACAGATTTTGCATTTCAGTATTGGAATGTGTCTCTAAATAATAAAATAATTTGCTAAGGAAGGCCACAAAAATAAGATAGAAAATAAAAATCTGATTTTGAGAAAGATGGTTATATTCAGTATTTCTTTGAGAAACTTCTTGGCTTATATTTAAGTAAATTCAGTTCTAATTTAATAACAATAATTTAATTGCTGTATATATGCTTGCAGAAAGTCAAGTATGTTTTTTACTCTCTTAGCGTATGTCTAGGAGTTACTGTTTCAGTATTTTTTGTTGAAATGTTGGAAACAATGTTGTGCAGTATGCAGTAAAATAACATGCAATTATAATGTACTTTTAGCCTCTTGGTTGTTTTTCAGATGATCTAAACAATTAACTTACAATTTTGAAACTGTTAGACTTTGCAGAAAATTTTGTCCCCAGAACATTTTGAGGCCCACATTTCTGATTTTTGTTACTTTTTATCTCTGAAAGACTCATCGCAACATACATAATGTTTTCCATTCCCTGTTCATAACAACAGTTAGTTTTAGGGCTTATGATTAGGCACAAAGATTCCCAAAAAATGTCATTGAACTTGGGTTTTTCCAATCTTAGTTTGAAACTACCCATTATAATATATTGGTCCCTGGCTCTTAATACAAAATCCTGAATATTTAACTCTTAATACAGTGGTACCTCGGGATACGAACTTAATCCATTCCGTGACTCTGGGCGTATCCCGAG